GAGAGATGTACATTGTTTTGGATATGCGTACTAAATGTTGCTACATTTTGTATTGGGTGGAGGGATGGAGCTGCAATTCTTAAATTTGACATAGAGCTCGCCGTTAGTTTCTACCGTTTTCTTATGGAGATAATGAAATAGTTTTAACAGAAAACTACAAAATGAAAGATTCTGTAGACTATTGGTGTAAAAAGTAAAAGGCATTTTGAGTACTGAAAAGGCGTAACACGAACTGTTGCAACGAATTTAAAATTTTAAGGTGAACTTTTCGCTGACGAAGTTGCGGGCAATTGCTAGTTATTGATAAAATTATATTTTTCCTCCATGTTGTCAACAAATAAAATATGCCCGACTTTGAGTCAAATGCTTCTGTAATCGTACGCCAATCGTCTTATCCATTGGGTTATTTGAATGTTGCGAATGCATGATTAATTTGTTTTACAACTGAACGCCTACATTTCACTCGCTATGAGAATTTTTCCCTTTGAAACTTATAATTACAACAACAGCGGCAATACATGCAAAGCAACGACATCAAGGAAAGACGTTTCAAAATACAAAAAAAAAAAAAAAACAGAAATAAATAAATAAAACAATCGAAATTTATGACAAAAACCAAGTAGGAACTCAATGTGAACTTGATCGGCATTGTGTAATCGCAAGTAATTCTCAATAGCTGTGTAGGTTTTCAAAAAAACTTGTAATTATACTGGGAAAAAGTATGTAAATTGTAATCTTTGGGCGAATATATAAATATATATGTATTGCAAGTATGGAAACAAAATGAGAAGCTGAAGGTTATTTGTTAAATTTAGATATTTATCAGAGATTTAATTATTTATCGTTAATTTAGAGAATGGGATCAATAACAAGTCAGTTGTTATAGTTTAACTATGTAATGCGTGGGTACGTTGAGTACGAAATGGTCTTTGCTATTCTAAAAAGTTTGTTCAGATTTAGCGATAAGAGTTGTAAGAGACTATACAAATTAGGAGTTCGAAAAAATCTCTGTCTGGAACCCATGTGGTGTCCGTTGGAATGGCAATTTTCGAATTTCGATAAAAGAAAAGTTGTGCTGAATTGTGCTAGGTTTCTGCTCAATTGTGCCGAATTTTTTTTCGAAATTCGAAAAAATTTCTGAGATATTCAAAGAAAGTTTTTTTTTTTTAAAAATCTGAGAGAATTGCAAGTTTCGAATTTCGAAAAAATTAAAGTTGTGCTGAGTCGTATTCGGTTTGTGCCCATTTGTGCCGTTAAATTTTTTTCGATATCTCTTACCAATTTCGAAAAAACGACAATTTCGAAAGTATGTCAGAATTGCAATTTTCGAATTTCGAAAAAATGAAAGTTGTGCTGGGTCGTGCTTGATTTGTGCTAACTTGTGCCGTTTATTTTTTCTCAATATCTTAAACCGTTTTCATGATATGGCAATTTCGAAAAAACCAGTATTTTTCAGAAAAATTGCTGTAATTTTTGTAAAAATTCAAATGTCGAGATGCTGTAAATTGTGCTGAGTTGTGCTCACTTATCACAATTTTTCGTCCATACATAACGAATTTCCACCTTTACTCGTTACTCGCTAAAAATTAAAAAAATGTATGTCGTACCCGTTACGAACTTTAAACACGAAATTTGAAACAATTCCGGTACAAAATATAGCTAAAATCATCAAAATACCGAAAATACCATCGACAAATACAATATAGATAAATCTCTTCCAGGGAGTAATGTACTCAGAAGGAACTCTTTTTTGTGGATTGTCAGACAATTCCAATCATCAAAATGCCGGTACCGTTATATGGAAACAATTCTCTTTCAGGACATACTATGTATGGTGGAGGGTATAAAAAGAATACGGCTATGCCGAACGTATAATATTTCTTCCTAATTTCAAAAAGCTTTTCAAAACAAAAATTTAAGGAAAAAATTGGCATTTTTGGACAAAAATATCACAAAAAATATATGTTAGGATCTAAAAAGTTTACGTGTATATGGAATGTATAGTTAAAAGCTGATTCCCTCTAATCTTCGAACTCAACATTTTATTGTAGAAAGTTTGAAAACTTTCAACTTATAAAAAAACAAGTAAGCAAAGGCTATAGTCGTGCGGGGCCGACCATGTGATACCCTACAACACTACAATATGTGAGAAGCCCCCTCATGTCTAAATCCATTTTGGAAGATTTCGCTTTTGAGATTATATCACGGAGCACTGCCCAGATATTACCCTTAGGATTTTGATCAGGGACATTTTCCCAATATTTATGCACTCCGTCATGCTGTTAGTTTTTGTGGTCCATTTTACACCTAAATATAATCCAATGGTCATCCAAAATGCTAAAATTCTTCACTGTGCTTAACTATCTTCTCAGGCGTGTCGATTGACTTCAATTGTGTGATCAGTATTTTTTTCCGTTTTTTTTTTTTTTAATTTGAACCCCTAAATATTTTGAGATCATCTCCAAAAGCAATTTCGCTATATCCGTCAACGAAATGAGCGGAAAAAAGCCAGAAGTTCGCCTATTGTGTATTTCGGATATCGCCTGTAAGTAATGTTGTCTTAAATTCTAACTTCATGATTAGATTTCGTGTCCTTTGGTTTCCATTTGTGACCTTTATAACGGCTGCAAAATCAGGGACATTTTGAGTTGCTGGTCCATTTCAACCCCTAAATATATTGCGGACATCTTTGAAAACAATAGGCTTAGCCCTTCTAAGCCTAACACTACCTTTGTCAAAAATTTCGTGAGGATCGAACGACAATTGCAATCTGTATATAAATAATAACCCCAACCTGTGTTGTAAAGAGCAAAAATATTACAAAATATACACTTCAATATTTTAAGTCAACTTGAAAAAAATCGCATGCGATAAAAAATATGAAAAAAAAAATAAAAAAAATGTCACAAAATACTACAAAATCTATATTAACATCATTATTTGTATCTTTTTATGCGATTTTTTTTTAGATTTTATACTTTTATGCCAAAAGGGCATTCTAAATTTACAACATTTGTCAAAATCGCTCCAGCCATTCTGGAGATATAAGCATTTTAGCTAACATCCCCTTCCTTTGTATATAAACATTGTATATATTTCGCTATATATATCCGGTATTTTAACTATTGGCATCTACGTAACGGTCAGAATTGACCTGTTCGTCTATTTGTGATTTCGCCGGCATTAAAAATATTCGCGGTTTAATGGAAAATTTGACTTTTATTTATCACAAATGCTATGGTCTATTTCAACCACTAAATGTTACCCAATGACCATCAAAATTGGAAGGCTTCTGCCCAGCCCAAAGCTCTAGCCCCATGCTAAATTTCGCGTCGATTGGTCTATAATTGTGACCTGTAGAGCAACTGCAAAATGTGTAAAATTTTCAGTTTTTGGTCCATTTCAATATTATGCGATCTTCTCCAAAAGAAATAGGGTTCTATTCTGACCCTAGCCCCACCTACATTCTAAATTTCGTGAAGATCGGGCCATAAATTCGACCTGTAGAGTGATTACAAATTAACATGGACAGACCGACGGACATACATAGCTAGATCGACTCAGCTCGGCGAGATAGGAAGATCCATATATACTTTCCTATGTGGGAAATTAATATTTCGTGGTGTTACATTTGATCCAATCAAACTAATAATACCCCCAACACAAAGTGTTGTAGGGTATAATCATTCTCCAAGGACAAAATACGTTTTGGCATATATCTCAATATCTAACAAGGATATGTGTGATTTTCTCTTCGAACATACATTGACCTATGCTTTTATATAGACATTTTGAAAAAATGTGCATTAAAAAAACATTTTTCAAGGACAATATTTCTATATTACAGGATCTGAAAAGGATACACGAAGATATCCGACAATGCTAAGTCAATTTTTCAAACGAAGAAACATAGAAATAATAATTTCCGACCTTAAATTGGGAATTTCCTTTTTTTTACACTGTGTGACAAAATTAAGGTTATCCATAATTACAGGAAAACCCCAGTCGATCATAAAAGTAGTGCTAATATAGAATATACGTGTATCGGAGTTTTGAAAGTGAATTGACCTAACTAGTGAGACCAGCCACTTCCACACTTAAGTAATTTACGGATTAATACTCCTTGGAATCGCTGCATTTAGATATGTTCGGCAATATTCCTGATGATAATACAATGCTTATTTTGGTGAAAAATGTTATCCCTCAAGCTAGTCAACAAATGGCCCTTTTTGATTAAAAACTTCCTTAATTTGGGGTTGCGGCAAGACGAAACATTCTGCAAATTGGTTTGCCCTAAAATTCTATATAAAAAAAATCTAAACCTTACCTATACACCCGGAATTTATAAATATTAAAAACACATTTTAGGATTAACGCCGTACTTTACATAGGTTTATGCATAATTGCCATATAAAGCATCATTTTAGAAGGACGAGGTAAAAGACAAAATTATTTTTCAAAAATTTCATTTTTGATTACCTAAGAAATGAAATCTCTGTACATCTCACAGCATTAAAAAATTTATAGAACTTTCAACTACTTCAAATATTATTTGTTTAAAAAATTGATCCAGGATTGGAAAATTGAACAATGTCATCGCAATAACTTGATTCAGAGTATCTTTATGTAAGGACTGTGCCAAAAAAATGACCTATAACGTTTTTGAACAATAAGAACTCAATGAACCCCCTGGAAGAGGGGTTAACATGTTCTACTTTTCATGCGATGTAAGGAATATACAACTATTCCATTTTTTAACTCACCTTTCATAAGCTACGGAAAATTACAGAATTACCCTCAAATTTAGAATTATTTTTAAAATATTTAATTTATAAAAAAAGTTGAACTTTGTGCACCATTTTTTAAAAAGTTTTCAGATCTATAGAATTTTACTTAAAATAAATACCTTGATTCCTCCGTCCTGATTGTTTACATCCACATTTAAAACATCTATCCATTTCCCACTACCAACAAGAATACATTTCCAATGATCCACTTACCTTTTAACACTGCGACTGCTACGTTTTGTTTGTTGTTGCTGATCTTGTTGAATCAAGTGATGCTGTTGTTGTTGCTGTTGATGGTGATTGTATTGTTCAGCCTCCTTGACGCTGTCCCATGAATCACCTACACCAGACGACGACATCTCATCCATGCGTTCTTCATCTTCCAAACCGGAATCTTCGAGACTAATGTGACAACTGGTTAGAGTGACCTGTTTACCGTTGTCACCCACTTCTATCCAGTCCGAGGTGCGAATGCGTGACGAACGTTCGGTGCCATAGGGTGAAGAATCTGACGAACAGCCAGACGGTGTTCGTTTGCGTGGCGAATTCTGATTGTTGGCAGAGATGACTTTTAGCGATTTCTTGAGGACTTTTTCAATGTCCTGGCCTTCATCTTCGCCATCGTCGTCACCATCACCATCGGCATCTTCAACGTTGTCGGCATCAATATCATCATCGGGATTTGATTGTTCATCTTGCATTTTGTTGTTGGTTTTGATCTCGAGGGTTTTGGGTGGTGGACCAGCCTTAAATTGCAATTGTAGCTGGCGTTGTTGTTGCTCTTGTTGTGGTTCATGGCCATGGGATTTGGTTTGCAAATTTTCCATAGAACAGGAGCGGGTACGCATTGCTGCCAATTCGGAAATTAACATTTCATGAAAGGCGGCCGATTTCTTCTCTGGAGAATTAAAAGCCGAAACCACTTGCCTGACACCAATCAGCTGCTGCTGTTGCTGTGATTGTTGTTGCTGCTCCTGCTCCTGCTTTTGCCCATTGTTTGCAGTGTGTGTTGGGGTCGTTGTTATAATATTTATACGGGTGCAATTGTCACTGCCTTTCGAAGCGGGGCCTTCCTCGCTGCCGGTATTGACCACTGTCACATTCGTCGGTGATGGTGTCTCCACCATCGTTTGATGTTGTATGGCCCTTTCGTGTTTGGTTATCACCATATTGCTAAGACCAACAGCCGACTCATGCTTCTGCTGATTGACCATAATCTCGGAAAAGAGACGCTCGGCAGCATTTTTAAGATTGTTTTTAATCTCCACTGTCTTGCCGCTGAGATAACCACCCGCCGTTCCCGTCGACACTGTCGTAATGTGAGCCCTGGAGGTAAAGTGGTCCAGTGTGGTCTTGGAACGTTTGAATAGACTCACACCCAGTGTTGAGGTGCCATGAGAATTCGAAGACGATGATGTTGTTGTCGAAGTGGAATTCAGGGAATTGGTGTCCACGTCCACATCCATGGTGGCCACTGGGATTTTAACGATTTTTCTTGGACGAGGCAAAGGTTGCGTTGTCGGCTGTAATTGGCTGAGATTGATTTTGTTGCCGACCCTTTCGAAATCGGCCCGGCCCAAACTAAGGCGACTGTCTTTGAGGTTGGATGGGCTTTTAGTGTGTGATGATGGGGTATTCATGGAGTGATGGCGATTAAGGGTCACTGAGCCCTGTGATGACTGTACAATGACAATATTGTTGTTGTCACGGTTTTCATCGGTGATGTTGGCTGTGGGCGTGGGCGTAGTTGTTGCCGTTGTTGCCGTTGTTGCTGCCGATTGCTGTGTGGGTGAAGTTGCATCGGTTGCCGTTTGAATGCGTGCCTTAGCTGTGGGCACATCGGGTGCCTTTCTCAACTTCAGGGGGGGTTTAGGGGCATGCGTGCCATTTGTCAATTTTGCTGTGGAGCTGGTTGTCGTTTGAGTAACGGCATTGGCTTTTGTTGTCGTTGTCGACGATTCGCCACCACTACCACGTTTCTCACGTTCTTCTTGGCGTTTTTGCAAATTCAACGATGGAGATTTGTAGATAACCGTGCGACCGCCACTTGCAGCATTGCCACTCGTGGTGGCAGCTACCGGTGCTGGTTTCTTAAGAATTTGAGGTTGTTCTAGACCTACTTTGCTAGACGAACGTTGCGGCAAGTTGGCAGCGGCGCCGCCTGCACCAGCAGCATCTCGCTGTGTTCTCAACAAACTCGATTGTTGTGGTCTGGGTGGAACTGGTGGACCGGGTCTTTTGGCAGCCGTTGTCTTGGCCGAGGGGGTCGGTATCATGGTTGTAAATGTTGTGGTTGCCATTTTGCTCACGCCGCAGTTTTGGATGCCTCCAACTTGTCGTTGTTTGATAAGGTGAGTAGTTTGTTTGGTTGGGAGGTTGGTTATTCGGTTGTCTCAACTGGGTCTACTCCGCTACCGATGGTGACGGCAGTTCTTGTTGCTCACTCACAACCCGTCTTTAACTGCAAAGACAAATCACAAACCTGTCTTTGTAGGTCACTTCTATAACGATGACGTCTGCCTGCTTGCGGCCGTCTCCCTGCTCTTGCCTGAATGTTGGCGTAGTTGTTTATTTTCTCTATAAGACTGGCTAATTGACAGACAGACTGGCTGAATGACTGGTTCGCTGGCTCACTAGCTGTTGTGTGGTATTTTGATTTTTTTTCGTTGTTTTGGATGGGATTTTCAATTTCTGTTTAGCATAAAATTTTTGTTGACGCGGACAGCGAAGAAGCTGAAAACACATAAAACACTAGCAAAAACTACCACAGAAACTTGTTTCATTTTAGCTGATCTTACGCTGGCTGTGGCAACTGATTTAGACCACAACTTCTTTGCTTTGCTATCTCATTCGCAACTTGGCTTAGTTTCTCGTCTGTTTTTTTTTTTTTTTTTTTTTTTTTTGTTTTCTCTCTCAAAACAAAACAAATCCGCAAATAAAATTCATTGAGTATCCGATCTTTGTTGAAGGAGAGGGGCACAAGTCCTGTTTCTTTGCTGTCTGCCTGTTCCGTTGCATAAAGTTCTGAGACGTTGGTTGCTGTATTGGCTGTGATGTGGCTTACTTTTTGGCGTTTATTGGCCTAGATTGTTTTGTTAACTCGTTTTCATTGATCTGCAAAAAAGAACAAAAAAAGAGAGGGGAGAGAAGAAAAACCGTATTAGTACATGTTGATACAGACGTGATGCATTTCAATTTATTACAACTCGAGCATGAGTTCTCAGCACCTGTTCTACTTCGGTTGCTGTGAGAGGTTGAAGGTTGCAATATTTATACTTTTTGAGGTGTGATACAAGCTTTGTTTTCAAACTCCGAATGAATGAGAAAAAATAATTTGATTTAAATGCCAGAGATATTTTAACAAAAAAATAATATAATTAAATGTATGAAGAAGGGTGTGTTTTTGGATAACAATAATGTTGAATTTTTTCAGATTTTCCCAGGGAAAAAACTCTTTAGGAACGGCGAAAAGTGTTAAACATTGATATCCATAGAAAAGCAAGACATATAGCACTTAGTTTCCTAGATGGAGGAGCCATGTGGACATACATAACACCAGCAACTGTTACCCAATTTTGAATTCTCTGATTTCAAACTGTGTTCTCTTCTCTGACAGTCAAAATTGTTGCTGAGCATACTTAGGATAAACTGGCACTAGACTAAAGAGTAGGAGTTATACACGAAGTTTACTCTCCACTATTTTGTTGTGGAATAAAAATGGAAGCAAAAATGGTCGAAATTAAATTAAAAACGAGCCAAGAATGGAAAACTGCAGAAGCAAGGACCGACGGATTTTGTGTAGGTAAATCAACACTTATAGAGATCGAAGGGCAAATAATTCCTACCATGTTGACCTCTTATAAAGCAATGGGTCTATGTGGCTCTAGTGTGGTCTGCGAACATCAGTTCAACGCAATGGAGAAGTATTTAGACCTATCAGAAGCAGCCCTGCGAACTCCTCATCTTGACACCAGTGGACCATTTACATGGGGAGACCAAAGTTCTTCATATGCTTTCTTAGCAGTACATGCTTTGGTGTTACCGCCAAAGTTCTAACCAACATTAGTTCTAACCACCATTATATGGTCGTTAGAACTCTGCCATCCAGATGTGTCAGTAAAGACCTTCATATTCAGGAAAGAAAGGATAAACGATACATGAGAGAGTCTCTACCTATCAGAATCCGCCCTGGAACTGCTTCTGACAGGGTGCCTCTTCTTGACACCACTGGACTACTTACATGGGGAGACCAACGTTCTTCATATGCTTTCACAGCAGTACATGCTTTGGTGTTACCTTATGAGTCCTTCAAACCATTATGTGGTGGTTATAACTCTCCCATCCAGGCGTGTCCGTAAAGACCTTCATGTTCTGGAGAGAAAGGTTCAACAATAAATGAGAGAGTCTCTAATCGGACAGGCCTGAATAGCATTCATGCTGATGCAGACATTGATGTAATAAACCGCTACAGTATGAGTGCCCTCCTCGAAGTCCATCTCCATCGAGTGCAGCTGAAGACTGTCGACTGCCTAGAGAAAATACTGTAGTTTAGAATTCATTACTTTCAGGATGGTGCAGTCGTGTCAATTCTGCCCCGCCAAACTAATCCAACGTACTCCAGATCTAAGATCTCTTCTTCTCTTTTGCCCAAAAATATAACGGGAACGGGAAGGGCTTCAAACTATAGGGAAACTTCTTAAGGTAAAAAAAAATCCTCTGAAAGGTCTACTCTCTCTGTATATGTATAAAAACTCGTTGAAGATTTCTTATCTATTTGGAAGGGTCATTGCCTATTAAGGATCTATGGAAATTGTCTGGATGGTCTTCTATATATATAAAAACTCTTTGGAAGGTTTTATCCCTATATGAGACATCTTGACAGTATTTCGCTTACAGAGGTCCTGTGGAAGGACTGTACAGAGCATCTGTAAAAGACTTATATCGTCGGTCTGCCGGCAGATATACAGGGTGAAATGAAAAAATGCTAACCAACTTCAGACTGCTATCATTTTGAAGCCAACCGTCCGACAGTTGTTAAAATTATTCCGGTGACAGCTCATTATATAGTCTACAAGCGTACAAAAGCATTTTGGTGAGAATTTTCCAGAAAAAAATTTTTCGTGATGGAATTCAAGCGTGATAGTGTGATTTCTTTATATTTGGCTGGAAAACCACTAGAGGCTATCGTTAGAGCTCTCTGTGAATAAATCTTTTGTGTCGCTCATTACCAAGATACTTGTAGCGTAGCCCGATGTCAAGGAAGTGGACGGAAGAAAACAGAAACATCAGCAGAATTGGTCCGAAAAGTAAAGGAGCGACTTGATCGAAACCCGCGTCGAAAAATGGCTCGTGAGCTGAACATATAGCGATGATGCATTCGACAAATATTGAAAAATGAGCTCGGGGTGAAATTGAAATTCCAAAAAGTGCAAGAACCTACACCACAACAGAATGAAAATAGAAAATAGAGCTAAAGAGTTACTTCGCTTGGCGGAAAGTGGTGAACTGACGAATTTGGTTTTCTCCGATGACAAAACATTCGTTATCCAGCAGTTTGTAAACAAACAAAATGTTCGTGTTTACTTGCCAAAGAGGTCAGCTTAAAATGTGCAGCTTCGGTTGGCCACCGCTCGTATTAATCGACCGTGGCATCAGAATAAATGCCGAATATTATCACGAAAATATTCTGAAGGGTGTATTAAAGCCTTGGGCATGTAAACATTTTGGCCGCAGACCTTGTTCATTCCAACAGGACTCAGCACCATCGCACTCAGCACTCGCTATCCAAGAATGGTTACAAAATGAGGTTCCTCGCTTCATTTCCAGCGCACAATGGCCACCAAAATCTCCGATACCAATCCGTTGGACTATTGTGTCTGGAGTATTCTGGATAGCAATGTTGGGACTAAAAAAATACCAAAGTGAGCGCTTCGCCGCGAATGTGCCAAAATACCGCAGAGCAACATTCGGGCAGCGTGTGAAGGTTACATTGGCTGTTTGAAGGCCATAATTCGTGCCAAAGGTGCACAATTCAAACAAATCTAAACTTATTCTAAAATTTGAAGCTATTTCCGACATTTTTTGCTTTCATTCAATAGAATTAAAAAAATGTAAAAAATATGGCGTTTGACATTTTTGCAATTTTTTATCTCACCCTGTATACCCCTAGCATTTGGCCATTTACGTATACCTTTCTTCTGACATCCCATAAAGAGTGTTTGACAAGATTAAAATCTGCATGAGCGTGAGGATAAATTGTATTTTTTAAATTGTTAAATTGTAATGTTATTGACAGAGCTCTGTTAACAAGTTAACAGTTTTGGTAATTCGAAATCTTTCGATATCGGAAATAGATTTTGAATATGGACTTTTTATATTTTGGAAGCCCCTAAGGAGATCTTTTACTGGGTGATATTACCTTATCCCCAGGTATCGCAGTTTCTATGCTATGTTAATAACATTACATTTTTAGTCTTTAAAAAAATACAATTTATATTCACGCACATTGACATGTTTTGTCATAGAAACACAGTTCTTAAGGACTAAACTTCAGATAGTACCAGGCTATATCCCTAAAGACTTATTATATCCTTCACAACATCCTCTTCCTTTCAAAATTGTAGGTATATTGGTTATATAAACAGTTCTGCTTCCCTAAATTTCTAGTGAAAGGTTGTTTACAACGTGTTGGTCATACAAAGAAAGCATGTCGGTTGTTGGTTCGCATGCGCACCCATATATCCGTTGCGATCCGTTCGTCTGTCCGATCATTTAACTATCAGCTGTAATTGAGGTACTACAAACATAAGCACATACATATTTATCTTTTTTTTGCCCGTTTGGAAATTTATCGCTCTATAAGTTTTTAGTTTGTTTTGGTCGGTCCGTTCGTATAATTTGCCTCTTCAAACTATCGTTGTTGTTGTTAGTGTTATTCGAAAACCAGATAAGTAGGTGCTTCTCTAATTTTTCGTTCGATTTTTTGTTTGTTTGCTCTGTTGTGATTATGTTGTTGTGAACTACCGCCGTCGCCGCCACTCTAATGCCCACCAAGCCCGTCGCCGAGGCAGATGCTGAGGCCAATGTCGAAGCACAATATACATATCGATGGTGTTTTACTCATGTTTGGTTTTTGTTGTTGTTGTTGTGGTCATCGCGATGAGAAGATAGTAGTAAAGTCGGATGTTTGGCTATCTATGAATGTATCTTTCTTTCTTTCGTGTTATTTCTTAGAGATAGTTCCTACAATGATGGTTGTTTGGTGTAGCATTGTTGTAATTTGGAAAGTGTTTTCTGCTGGCAATTGTTGTTGTTGCTGATTGAATAAACAGCAGCAACAGCAACAACAGCAAATGCTTCAATATGCATGCGTTCCAATATGTATGATAAGTATGTATGTATGTATATGTGTATAATCAAATATGTCTGTTTGTATTGCTGTTTGCATACTGAAGATATGCGAATGAATCAGTTCGAATGTAAATACGGGCTAGTCAGTCTTTCGCTTCATTAGCTTGTTTAACAGCGTTTTTTCGCTCTCCTCTATTTGTTTTTGTTAACAGTTGAAGTTGTTGATTGCTGTTTGGTGTTGGCTTTGTTGTTGTTGTTGTTGTCGCTCTGTTTATTTGGGAAATGTCTGTTCCCGTTGTTTTGCCGATGCTGGACTTGCTTTATATATGCAAAATTACTAACATCAACAACACATCCTCCACCATCACAGACAGCAACAACAATAGCTACTTCCTTTGTAGGAGGAGTTTAAACATTTGCTGTTCGTTATTTGTTTCAAGTTTGGAAAACTTCAAAAACAGTTTATCGTAAACTTTAATATAATTTATTGATGTAAATATACAGCACATAAATGAGTGTGTTCATAGGTTTTATGTGTTTAGAAATTATTTCCCCATAGTTAGGTATTTATTGAGGAAAAAGTATTGAGATCAAATGTCATAAAAGAGATGGAAAAGTTACATCAATTTGCTAATTCTGAGTTAATTCCAAAAACTGAATCAACGTCTGATAATAACATGGGGAAATGAAATTCGTCAAAAATTATGTAAAATAGGCCCAAACGTTGATTAAGACTTAAAAAACTTTCAGTCAAACAGAGAACTTTAATCTGACTTGCTCTACAGGAGAAGTGAAATGAAACAGCTGCAACAGTTTAACTAAATTTGATACAATAAAATTTTTGGTTAAACCGGTAGAGTTGGAATTCGTACTTATATAGTACAAAATTTGGTAAAAAATTGGAATTGTAAGGAACCGATGGAGCTGGAATTTGAAAATTTGAAATGAAAATAAAGTGCAGGATACATGCACCGAGGGATTACTGGAAATTCGAACTTTAAATTTAGGAAAGATTCTAAAATGTTACCAACCTTTTAAATGGTACCTTTTGGTATTATGTGAACGGATAATGAGCTTGGAAATGGAACTGTACTAAATGGTACTAAATTTAGAACAGTTTGGTTCAGTGTAAACTGGTGAAGCTAAAATTTTGAAATTTTGTGTTGGGGCCCCTCTTGGTAGTAGGTTCGCAATAAAGAGGTTGTTTTAGAAATGTGTTCTATAATTTTACGAAAAGTACTAAGTAGTACTAAATTTGGTATTGGGTGAAGTAGTAGAGGTGAAATCCTGAAATTCAAAATGGATGTCACTGTTAGCGTTCTATATTTGTACGAAAAGTAAAGTAGTAAGTAATGGTTCCAAATTTGATATTGAGATCTCTGTTGGTGTCAGGGGCTGGATTCTTGTTCTATGAAAGTATGATATGAAAAATATTTCCTTTATAAAATTTTTCATTTGACATTTCTTCTCTTTATAAAATTTTTCATTGAACAAGAAATGAGTCCCTGGAATTTAGATATGGAAAAATGTGTACCATAATTTAAAAAATTATATTTGGTATTCAGTGAATCCATAAAGCTGGAATCCCGAAACTTGATATTGAGGTATCTGCCTTGGGGGAAATTACAGAGCTGAAATTTGATATTCTGGTCTCTGTAGGTATCTGGAATTGAGATATGGAAATCATTTTGAAAATGTGTACTATAATTGTTCGAAAAGTACAAAATTTAATATTGGGTAAAGGGATAGGGTTGGAATCCTCATATTTGATATTGAGGTCTCTACGAAAAGTAGTAAGTGGCATAAAATTTGGTATTGGGTGAAGGATGGAGCTGGAATATCGAAATTTGATACTTTAGGTCTTTGTTGGTATCTGGCGGTGGTTTTGTAATTTCGAACTCTAATTGTTTGAAAAGTACTAAATTGTACTGTTGGTGTCTAGGATGAGAAATGTATATTGTTTTGAATATGAGTACTAAAAGTTACTTGATTTGTTATTTGGTGAAGGGATAGAACTGAACTTCTGAAATTTGATATTAAGATCAATGTTGGTTTCTAGAGTTTACACATGAAATAGTTTTGCATAGAAAATTGGGTGTAGACCTATTTGGCAATGCTTTTACTATTATCCCCCACGGTCAACTTCAAACTGAAAGGTTTTGAAGATGTTTGTCTATTATTCATTCCAAAAGGAAAAACTTGAATGATATAAAAAACATTGAAAGTCTGAAAATTAATATAATTAGAAAATTTTGTCAAAAAGAAAAATTGTTTTTATTTTGAATACTCTCGGAAAATCGAAATTTTAATATGAACTTTTCGCTGGCGGACGCGAGCTCTTGCTAGTAAATTAACATTAAAATCGAACAAAAAGGCAGAAGCTAAACAAATAAAAACGCATAAGTTCGGCCAGACCAAACTCTCAATACCCCCCACCATGAGGTAAGGAAAAATTTTAAAAATATAAATATCGATATTGAAAATTAGGTCCAATTCCAGTTTTGCCGGTGAAATCCGTTGAAAAACATTCTTCAAAATACCAAAAATCGATGGTAAAAGTTTTCTGCGACAGTGCGAAAATGTGACAAAGATCATCAAAATACCAAATGTTCGGAGGTGTCGCTTAATAAGTGATATAAGAAATAGAGGACAAATTCGAGCAGTATTCTGCCACAGAAGATAGAACCCATACCGAATTTTGGCTAAAACTGATATATGTGGCTAAAATCATTAGAATATTGAATATCAGGAACTCTGCCAGAAAAGATAGATCCCATTGTGAAGTACCAAATAATTCCAAATTCAAATAATAATTCCAAATTCTTCAAATAATAAGAATACCGAATATGAGGAGTTATCTTTACATGGGAAACATGGACCTATATAGACAATTATTTGCCACAAGACGCAAAACCTGTTACGAACACTAAGTAGCGGCTTTTAAACGATTCCGTTTGAAAATGTGACTTAAATCGTCCAAATACTGAATATTGGGAAATACTGTTTTATGGGGACTATGCGAAAACGTGGACCGACATGGCCTATTTACGAACTTAACATGCCTACTGACAAAATATATATGTATGCAAAATTTTAGCTTTCTATCCCACATTCGTTCGAAAGATGATGATTGCAACCTACAGACAGACAGACGAAACTTCGTTCATTCGACTTAGAATTTTACGCTGAGTAAGAATATATATACTTCATTAATATAACTTTCATAGTCTGGTGGAGGGTATACATGCTCTCACAATTTTTTAGTTTCCTAAAAATATCGTTAAAATAAAAACCAAAAATTTATGAATGAAAATATTAAATTAAAGTTGGCAACACCATTGCTAACTTGCCGAATACTTTCATTAGTTACTAAAATTATAAACATTTTACGATTTTCGTGGGTAACTCAAAAAAGTTATAGAATCCCACTAGGGGTCGGTATCAAATGAAAAGACTCTTCTTCCCAAATATTTCAAATTTATAAGCCTTTAATATCAATTAACCCCCAGTTTGCAATGACCCCATTGATTAGCAATAATCATAATTTATAATTAATTTTATCAATTCGTTTAAGAGGGCCGTAACAAATCAATCTTATCATTCTCATTTCGTCTTTTTTTTGTTTTGTAATTAATACCGAAACATTCGTTCATCCATCGATGCATTCACTCATTCCCCAATTTGAAAATTGCTCCCCCCACCTCCACGTCCAAAAACATTCTGCCATATGGCAAGAGAACTCTTTTGGTAAGTTGTTGTTATTTTAGGCGTGAAATGAAAACAGTTCACACATTAAGTGGGTCAATTTGAAATTGCTTTTTATCAAAAGGCGATATTGAAAAGTAATTTCAAATATTCTGAAACCTAAGTGGAGGCACTTTGTAAAATTGACAGAAACAAAGAAGCCCAATGCAACCGTAATATTTTAAAGCTTTCAACATAGTTTCTTTAATCTATATTTTTTAAACAATGTCCCGAGAGAGTTGGTACAATAGTCTTCTTATTATTTATAATAATGGAGGGCCTCTGATATATTCGATTTTCTGAAACAGTGGTTTTGAAACAAATTTTCTTTTTAGTGAAGTCCCAAAACTAAGAACAAATCTGGATATCTCAAAGTAAATACAGTTTAGTTCGGCCGGACCGAACTTTTAATATCCACAATTAGGAAGGAACTTGGAAAATGTATTGTCAAAAAACCGAATATCGTGTGGGGGCTAAAGGTGCGGGTCTGTATTGCCAATTATCGGTCAAAAAGGTGGTGCCTATTACAGATTCCAATTACCTAGCTTCAGAAGATTCCATTGAAAAATGAACGCTGAAATAATCAAAATACTGAATATAAGGAGGTGCTTTTATATTTGGCCTATACAAAGACGGAGATCTGCACAGGCCCACTGCAAACACAATATTTTAAATTTAAAATAATTCCGGTGAAAAATGTTGCTTAAACTATCAAAATACCGATTATCGGGAGGTGGTCAGGCAACTTTCTGTCGTAGGACGAACTCCAAATACCAAATGTCAAACAATTCCGATGACAAGTGACACAAATCACCAAATACGGTTTATGCAAGTATGGGTGCCTAAACAACCAAAAGACCTTAAACCTGCTGGGACAGTTTTATGGGGTAAAACGTAGACTTCAATGACCCAATTTCAATACCAATAATCCTGCAGATCTAAAATACAATAAAATACGTTTGGCACAAAGGAAACAGAAACGATTTTGAAGTGTAGATTGGCCAGAAGAATTGAAAAGACTACCAAAAAAATACACCGTTTGGTGCGGTTTATGAGCTAATGGCGTGAGCTCTACCGTGCGATGATATCGAACTTTTATTATTTTCGATATTCGATGCTTATGCTTTGGATGCTCTCATCCAAAGGACCTTCTGATATTCGGTATCATGATGATTTAAGACTCATTTTCTAACGAGATTATTAAAAATTTGGTACTTACATAGGATTCATAATTTCTTCTAACTACTGTGACAGATAATTGCCTAGATAAGATCATGTTTTGCTATAACCCCCATGTTTCGATACTTACCGATATTCGGTATTCTGATGAATTAGCCACATTTTTTAGAGAAATCTTTAACATTTGGAATGTAGAGTTTTTAATGGATTCTATCTTCTGTGGCAGAAGACTGATGGATCAGACCCTTTATATCTTATATCACCCATAAAACAGTACCTCCGATAATTTTAGCTACATATTAACAGAATTTTCTCAAATTTAATGTTTAAAAATCGCAAACGACTATCTAAATGGCAAAAATGCAATCCCGATTCTTTCATTTTTAAAGATATTCTCTACCGCATGGGGCGTCATCTTTCCAAATTATATTGTGTAGTAGAGCTTTACATAATCCCATACGAAATACAATTTTAATATTTAAAAATGTTTTTTTGCATTTTACAAATTTCTGTCTTGCAGGTCAGACCAAAATAATATTGTTGTGCATAGTTTTGACAAAATCACGGTGAGAATGCCAGGGAATCTTAATCCGAAATTGTCCAATCTGAATTGTCCGAAATTGTCCAATCCGAATTGTCCGAAATTGGAAGTGGTTTAGGTAACATCTATTCTTAGCTCTACTTATTGCAATACACTGTGCTAGGACCAAATATTAACCGGGATATATTGACTCAAAATATGATCAAACATCCCTTTATTTGCACGGCATAAATAAATGTTGAAATGCACAGATTTAGCAAGGAAACCCAAAAAAGTTAAAATAATTTCCCGATTTATATCTTACAAATTTTAATTATAGAATTTTATTTTATTTTACGGAAATATAAACTTAAATTCTTAACATCACCGTCACAATCATTGAACTCGGTTGTTGATTCATAGTCTTTAAAATATTAAAACCATATCAGTTTAAAGCTTTTAAAATTAATTTTGGCAACACATTCATATATTTCCGTGTCTGATTTCTTCGTAGCACTCGGAATGATTCGAACAAATTGTGAATCATTGCTCTTATTGTTATTCGGAATGTACATTCTTAGATATTGGGCTTCAATCATCCATCGAAGCTTGGGAATCACTAGCGACTGATATCGTAAGAGACAAAGGCAAAGGCACTTTCACTGCGTAATGCAATTGTTTGAAAAAAAGTATCATGGATTTAATATTCAAAACTTTAGAAAAATTGTATTTTTTTAAGATGGATCTTTCTTTAAAATAAGTCTGAAGAAGTCAATAGTCGGGCGGGGCCACCAATATGCGTATTTAGTAGAGCTCCCGTAACAAAAGAATTTTTTTGAAGTAGATCATATCACCTATCAAACATTTGGCATTAGAGCAGTTATAATTTGGTTTCAGGAGGAACTAATATATGGGAGGCATATCCAATTCTGAATCGATTTTCAATAAATTTGACGGAGATATTTCAATCTTTTATACCAAATAACATTGCTATAGATTGGTATGGTTTCACTTCGAGAGGATTATATAAAAAAAAAATAAAAACCGAGTTCCGCCAAATGGAAACATTCGTCCCGAAATTCACTCCATTTGGGCTGATATTAGCCATTATTTCCACAACAAACCTCAAATCGGATTAAGGATATATATGGGAGCTATATCCAAATCTGAGCCGATCTTCATAAAATTTGGTAGAGGTATTTCAGGGCTGTATTTGATATGTGATACCAAACATCATTCTTGTGGGGTTCGTATTACGAATGTGGGGGAATTAAATACCAATTCGGATGAAAACTATATATGGGAGCTATAGCTATATCTAAACCGATCGAAATCGATATATTTGCTTTTAGACCGAATTCGGTACGATGTACCAAAATTCAGAACTTTTGGACTTATTGTAGCCATTTGGTGCACAATTAACCCGAAATCGGTTGAAGATATGTATGAGAGCTATATCCAAATCTGAACCGAATTTAATAAAATTTGACATAGTTATTTCTGGGCTGTATCTAATATCTGGTACCAAATATCATTGTTTTCGAATGCATATTACGAATGTGAGGAGCTTAAACGCCAAATCGGATGTAACATATATATGGGAGCTATAGCTATATCATCAAATTTGATATACTTACTTCTAGACTGAATTATGTTGGATGTGTCAAGATACAGGCCATTTGGACTTATATTGGCCATTTGGTGCACAATTAACCCGAAATCGGTTGAATATATATATGGGAGCTATATCTAAATTTGAATCGATTCTCACCAATTTCAATAGGGTTCGTCCTTTGGTCAAGTAAATATTGTTTGGAAAAATTCGTCTCAATCGGATAATAAATGCAATCTGCATTTTGCTTACAAAAATAAATGAACAGACGGACCGACTGACTGACATTCATACATCGACTCAGAAAGTGATTCTATGAATATCTGCAAAAGTAAATATGGGTCTATCTCGCTTCCTTCTCCATGTTACAAACACATAGACAAAGACATAATACCCTTACCACTATGTGGTGTAGGGTATAAAAAGAATCTCATATAAAGAGCTCTTTTACTGGCTTCAGACATTTTTTAAAGTAAGGAAGTGCAAGAAAATGTTTTAGAGATAAAAAGTTTGAGAATTGTAAAGGTGAAAGAACATAAAAAGCTTTCCAGCCTATTTTAAGCCATCGGCTGGCTTCTTCGTAGAGGAACAAAGGAGTTTTAGGTTGACTTGGTCCGCTTTTGGCCCTACGCTCTTTTGTTCGTTTTTCAAAAAGCCAGCCGATGACTTAAGCCCCTCAAAAAAGCATTTTATTTATTCTCACCTTAAAGGTGAGGACTGGCTTAAGTCATCAGCTGGCTTCTTCTTAAAAGAAAAAATGAGTTCTAGGTTGACTTATTTAATTTCGGTCCGTAATTTATACTAGTTCACCCTACGCTCATTTGTCCTTTTACGAAGAAGCCAGCTGTTATTTTTTTTCTTTTACACATTTCTTTGCAATTCCTTACTTTTGGACAGAAAAGAACTATTACCTGATGTTTTCCTAATGAATATAAGCATACTGTTTCCTAATTACTAATTTATATTTCACCACATTTAATAGTTCATCGAACAGTTCCCATCGAAACTAGCTTCTCCTTACACATATATTTGGTCTCAATAATCTAGTAAAAAGAACGCCAACCGACTGATCCGACATCAACAATTTCATGCATTTTAGAGTAGATCCGTTAATTAAAATCACTTATCGTTCAATTAGCAGCAGCAGCAGCTATCCGCAAACAGAGGAGTCGAAGAAAAAGAACGTGAATCAGAATTGCCCTAAAAAATCACTTGACAGAATCTATTTAGTGAGAATAATAGGCTTTGTTTGTGTGGCAACAAAATGTCAGGCAAACGTTGTTTCCAACGTGTGTGTATATGTGTGTGTATTTCTGTGTCGCATATGCAAAACGACAATAATGGCAATAACAACATCATCACCAGCAAATACTTATGAATAATAAATTGCCAATTCAACAATCCACAGATGAGTCATAAAAAATTTAATGGCGAAGTTTTTCTATGGACTTTTTGTTGTTTGTTGTTGGCGGCTGTCATTCGGATGAGACGGAGGATTTTACAATGCACCACCACCTCAAACGTAAACAACTGGTCGTGTGACCGGCCATACGTTACCATTTAGGGAGGAAACTTGTAACGCTCAATGGGTTTTATTGGTATATATTCGATAAAACTTGGAAACATTATGGGTATTTCTATTTGTAATCTGTAATTATAAAAACTTGTCCTATAGTTCAGAAGTTAACTACAAATTTAAATTTATTTTATGAGAGAAGACTCATTATCCGCATATTTAATAACGCATTCAATCGTTTACTGAATTAAACAAAGATCGTTCTCCACTCATAAACAAACGTTGTTTTTATAAAAACAACAATAATGGGATTTTGCCTGACGATTTTGCAACAACAAGATTTAAAGTTTTAAAAGTTTGATAGGACCAAAAACATCTTGAATGGTTGGTCCCATACCGACATAGTATCTCGCAGTGCTAAATCGATTTAGAAATATGTGTCTGCTTTTCCTTGTTGATTTCTAATCACTCTACAGGTGCCAATTATGGGCCAATCTTCACGAAATTTTGCACGGATATAGGGTTAGGGTCAGAATATTGTTTTCGGAGATGTTATGTTTATGGTTAGAGTAATACGGGACAAAAGCCTTGCAGCCTCAATGGTAATATTTAGCGGGAGAAATGGGTGAAATTACATTTTAAAAAATACCAATATTTCTGGCGTATAATTTTAATTAAATAAGTTAAAAAGAACACTTCTGAAATTAATATTGATGCTGATTTTGTTGAGGTATGCAGTCAGTTATCGGAGATATAGCAAAATATATACAGGAATCTTAGTTGTCAATTATTGTTATGAATTTCCATTAGAATAGCGGAAGGCGTAAACATATTGAAACGAAATTGCAAGGTCTCATGGCTATCATTAAAAACTAAGATATCCTCTTTGCCTGGCTATATGACATTATTCCAAGAATGAAATGGAGCATTCTTCTAGCGAACACAGTTTTCTGGATAATATTTGTTTAAAAGGTGAGAATACACAAAACGCTCTTTTGACTGACTTAAGTCATCGGCTGGCTTATTTATATCCCGCTTCAATAGACCCATTGCAAGACCACATTGAAGCATTAATTCTGAAATGTTGGAAAGCGAATGGACCACTTGAGGCGCAGTCGCGTCCAACATTTGCATTAAATAATTTTCAACCTTAAATTTAATAGACCATACTATCAATTCAAATAAGGATTTCATGAATTTTATTTGTTCTTTTTCGAAAAAATTGTCTATAGCTCTTAAAAAATCATCCTTTTGTTAGTACTAATTGTGTTCGTTGTGCACTATAATCTTGCAACTTCTCAATAGAAACCTGCGCTTTGCCTCTTATGTGCCCTCTAGATTCACTACAGGGTGAGATGAAAAAACTGCAACCAACTTCAGACTGCTGTCATTTCTAAGCCACTCGTCCGAAAGCTTTTAACATTATTCCAGGAACAGCTCATTATATTGTTTACAAGCGTAAAAAAGCATTTTGGAGAGAATTTTCTAGAAAAAAAGTTATTCGTAATGGAATTCAAGCGTGATAGCGTGATTTCTTTATATTTGGCTGGAAAACCACAAGTGGCTATCGTTAGAGCATCGGTCATTACCGTGATACTGGTAGCGTAGCCCGACGTCAATGATGTGGACGGAAGAAAACAGCAATATCAGCAAAAATGGTTCGAAAAGTAAACAAGTTAAAAAGCAGTAAGTTCGGCCGGGCCGAACTTTTAATACCCTCCACCATTTGCAACGAATTTGGAAATTTTCAAAAAATAAAATCCTTAAAAAATTCTGTTAAAATTTTAAAAATACCGAATATAGCCGTTATTTTGGGGTCTATACGACGTGGACATACATAGGCATTGTTGGTCATAAGCCATTACCATATTCAAATTCGAAACTTGAAATAAACGTAGCTAAAATCATCAAAATACCTAATATAGGGAGGTACCGTTATATGGGGGCTATACGAAGACCTGGACCCGCACAGACAATTTTCTGTCACAGACTGTAGTTCCCATAACGAACTTCAAATACCAATTTTAAAACAATTCCGGTGAATAATGTCGCTAAAACCATCAAAATACCGAATATAGGGAGGTACCGTAATATGGGGGCTATACGAAGACGTGGACCTGCACGGATAATTTTCCGCCTTAGGGTGTAGTATCCATTTTGAACTTCAAATACCAAATTTAAAACAATTCCCGTGAATAATGTCGCTAAAATCATCAAAATACCGAATATAGGGAGGTACCGTTATATGGGGGCTATATGAAAACATGGACCTACATGGCCCATTTACGAACTTAACCTGCCTACTGGAAAAATAAACATGTGTGCAAAATTTTAGCCACCTATCTCAATTCATTAGAAAGATAGCGTGATTACAACAGACAGACAGACAGACGGACAGGCAGACGGACAGACAGACAGACAGACGGACATCGCTAAATCGACTTAGAATTTTACGCTGATCAAGAATATATATACTTTGTTGGGTCTGATATGAGTATTTCGAGGAGTTACAAACGGAATGGCAAAGTTAATATACCCTCCATAGTATGGTGGAGGGTATAAAAAGCGACTTGATCGAAACGTGCGACTCAGTCACCGAAAAATGACTCGTGAGCTGAACTCACGCTCGTATTAATCGACCGTGGCATCAGAATAAATGCCGAATATTATCGCGAAAATATTCTGGAGGGTGTATTAAAACCTTGGGCACGCAAACACTTTGGCCGCAGACCTTGGACATTCCAACAGGACTCAGCACGCGCCACCCAAGAATGCGCTTAATTTCCAGCGTACAATGGCCACCAAAATCTCCGGACACCAATCCGTTGGACTATTGTGTCTAGAGTATTGGAAAGCAAAGTTGGCACTAAAATACCCCAGAGTAACATTCGGGCAACGTGTGGCGGTTTCTTGGCCTTCATATAGGGACCGCGCTTTATGAAGTCCTGCTGAAGTTCTTAAACGTAGTGGATGTAATTTTATATTTTGAATTATTAAAGAATAGGATATTTTTTTCAATGTAAGTGAAGATTTTGGAATAGGCCCAAAATAGCGGTAGTAACCCAAACATTTTGGGTACTTTGAAGGTCCTAACCAGATTTTTCAACTGAATGGCCTACAATTTATTATTTTTGTAGGTTTTGTCATACGAACCAAAACTACAATTTTAAGTTTACTAAGGGTTCCGTCATAATCAACTTCCCTTTTTATTTTTTTCAAGTTGTTTTATTTAATTTAACCCTTTTTTAATAAACTTTGCTCATTTTAACTCAACTCTAAGATAGGACGGCTTTTAATTTAAATTATCAATATACTCCCTCTGATCTATCCAGAACTGCAATCCTATGCGACAAATGTCTCTAACATAATTATTCCGCAATTTACCCAGAAACATGCATATTTTAATTTTGAATTCATCATTTCCAACAAGAAATAGGTTACAGCCGCCTCACATCAGAAAATACCTTCCTTTGTGTCTGGATTTCATTTTAATAGCTTTTCAATTTTAATTTGTTTGAAAACTGATTGAGCCAGGGGGTGGTTGTTGGAGTTGGTCACATATCAGACATCAGACAGATACTTTCAAATTATATTTCATTCATTTGTTGTTATTTTTGTTTTGTTTTCTATTTTCTCTGATGTGTATTTTTGGATACCCATTTGTGTTGTTTTCTTACTTTTTCTCTTCGCTGTGTAGATTTTCACTAGTTTTGTTTGGGACGGAATTATTATTGTTGTTGTTAGTTTCCAGAGTTTGATACACACCCACGCACGCAATGTTGGCTGGATGTTGATGGTTGGTTGGATGCACTGCACTACACCAACAATCGAACTCATTCACTTGCTAAACAACAAACAAAAAAAGACACACGTTGTTTTTATTACAGCTGCTGCTGTGGGCCTGGCAGGCTGCTGGCGATGGACAGACAGCTTTAACTTTCAAACAATTTTTTCTGATGTTTTATTTTTCGAATATGCACACGCACCGCACCGCTTTGCTTTGATCGGCAACACTGCACTGCAGATAGAAATTTTGGTTTATTGGGCTTTGCTGTTATTTTGGCTCACTTCTGCTTCTTTTTCTTTCCTTTATTCAATTTCTTGGTTTTTCTTCCAAAAGGCACTTTTCTTGGTATTATTTCTCACGTAATGAGGAAAATCTCGCGCAAACATACACACACATACGCACTCATTCACAAATTTCTGTGTATTTATTTATTTAACTTGGATTTTTGTTTTCTTTGGCACTCCACTTCAATGGAGCTACGATACGAACGATACGTTATTTTCCTCCTTATGAATTTTTCACTTCACTTCACCTCATTCGCTATGGAATTCTCTGCAGAATGAGGAGACACCAAGCAACAACAACAAGCACTGGGTCCACAACAAATCCGCATTTGTCGGGTGTAGTAATGTGCTGCACATGGACGATGAATGGATGGATGTATGGAACGTTTGTTGTCGTTGTCGCGTATCTTGTAGTGTTTTGTTGTCTGTTTTCCTCGCATCAAACGAAAGAAACTGTCCTCTATAGCGCACCACCGATTGTTTCGCGTCTTTACTAACCAAACCGCACGAGAGCCCAATGCTAACTGACGGCTGGCTGAACTGAGCCCACCTTAACCGAATGCAGCAGTGGTGAGACGTGTTCATTGTTGTTGTTATTGTTTCTTGTTTTGTTTGCAATTCATTCGTGGTGGTGTTCATTTTCACACAAAGCGTTCATTACAGTGGGGACACTCTCTTGTTTATGTTGGATACCAGAAAGAGAGAATGAACACCTCTGCCCATCGGCCACAAAGAGAGGGCAATAATGGGAGAGAGATTAATTGAAAAATGTAAACAAATTTTGTAATGTCATGCCATAGCAAAATAAACCGGCATCGAGCCGGTTACTTTTCCTTTGGAGCTGTGCTCCAAACAGATTATAAATATATGCTCTCTTAGTGTGACTCTTTGAGTATGTCTCTCTTAGCGAATAGTAAACAAACTGTGTTTCACTTGAAACGCCTTAAGGGGGCATTTCAGATACCACCCTTTAAGTTATGGCAACGGCTTTAATGGAGAGGCAAAAAAACTGTTTGAGTTTACCCCCCTTCTAGCGGAATGGGAAGAATGAGTTGCAATGTATCTAATGTCTAGTCTGTGGGTAATATCCGATTTAATATAAATAAACAATTTGTACTTCATTCAAATGCACTCATACGATTTCGGTTAATTCCTAAAGAATTGATCAAAAGACTTAAATTAATAATTACCTCCTTGGTGTTGTTGGTGTTTTCAAGGTGTGTCAGTTTGATTTGCATCTAATGTTTTGTCTTGAAGGAATAACACAGCTAGATTCAAAGCCTGGCCGGCTGCCATTAAAAGTAGTTGTCGGGCCTAAGAGACCATGTAAGGAGATCGGGTTAGACTGAGTCTTACTGAGTCAATAAAGGCATAATTTGAAATATGGGAGGTGGAAAAGGGTATATATTTGCACGTGTATATGTTCACAATTTTTACTGAAAGACCAGTGAAAAATTTAGCTTTAGAAAAATTCCCAGAAACTTGGCTAAATAAGGAGCTTATGAAAAGATAATTATATTGCAAGAATAGTTACGAATTAAAAGTACATTTACAGTATTAAAGGTTAACCCACTGGGTTTAATAGATCTAGTGGATTCACCCAGCTTGTTTACACATTCCGTTGAGTGGAATTAAATGACAGTTTTTTTATACAAAGACAACATTCTTATAGAAAATTAAATCCGCTAAAAACTAAAATGAAGAAAGCCAAAAATTTTAAAAATCTTTTTATTCATTGCTGTGGGCAAATGCAGAAAAATCACACTAGATCTGCAATACATTATTTGGAACAATGGACATTTTGGTTCAAAATTATAATTTTAATTTAAAAACGTAGCGATCAGCAAAGGAGTTTAAAAATGTCTTTCTCCGGCTTTTACATTCTAACTCGTTTACATATGAATAATGCAGGAACGGCAAGGAAGTTTTTTTGAGACATTTCTTTTATGAAGAAAGGTTAGCAATAGCTTTGTACACTTTGAGATCTGTCGCTGAATACACTACAATAGGGCATATATTCTGTGTCATTTTTAATAAATTTTGCGTAAAGATGTGGCAAGATTTATGCTCGGACTTTCTGCCTTGCAACAAAGGAAAAGATTGAAGAATATGTCAGAAGATTTCTCAATGCTTTGGAGCTCTTGGTAAATTTTGCCAAATAAAAAATATCATAAGTCAAACTATTGAAAAAGAATTGCTCTATTCTAGAACCTGCAAAAATCTAATAGTTTTGCAATTTTTTCGATATCATAAAGGAAAAAGAGGTAATCGTAGTAAAAATGTGTCCATTCTTGTTGTTCTAGAACAGAGCAAATATTAACTTATTTTCCCCCGTTCGCATAATTTCAGGGGCTAACAAATATTTTAGTTAGAAAATTGAGTTAAATTGAAATAACTAAGCTAAGGATATTTTAAATATTACATTACTCAGTTCAAACAATCCGCATATATTAGAAACCAATAGATGCTAGAAAACTATGTTCGCTGAGAAACTGTTGCATGTGTCAATAATCCTAAACACAATAAAGGGTCCGCATTCTAACGTTTTTTATTTTATTTATTTATTTTTTTTTTTTTTTTTGAGATAGTGCTTTTTTCACGGATGATAACTAAATAACAAATATCGGGATTCCAGCGTTATTCCTTCACCCAATACCAAATCTAGTGTCATTTGGTAGCTTTCGTACAAATATAGGATGCATTTCCAAACAACCTCCATCTTTTCACCGCTGACAACAAAAGATACCTTCCTTCACCAAACACCAAATTTGGTATTATTTAGTAGTGTTTGCACAAATTTAAGACGCATTTACAAAACCACCTCAGTATTTTAATCACACACACCAACAGAGATCTAAATACCAATTTCGGAATTCCAGCCTTATTCCTTCATCCAATACCAAATTTAGTATCATTTGGTAGTTTTCGCGCAACTATAGACGCATATCCCAAACCACATGGATATCTTACTCACAGATACCAACAGAGACCTAAATAACAAATTTCGGGATTCCAACATTATCCCTTCACCAAACACCAAATTTTGACGCATTTCCAAAATCACCTCCATATCTTAACAACACACACCAACAGAGACCTTAATAACAAATTTCGGATGATAATGCTTTTAAATTGGACATGTGTTAATCGGATGATAACGCTTAACCCATATCCGACTTAAACGATAATCAGTTTTATCCTTTCACTGGACGAATATGGTACTAAAATGTCCTACATATTGATTACTTTGTATTATATACTCGGAATGAGATAAACTTATAAAATTTGGAATGAGAGTCGCTGGAGAATAGACTTACAAAAGGATTGTTGGAAGTTTAAGGAAAGTCCCAAAATGGTACTAAACTTAAAAAATGGTACCATTTGGTACGAATAGAGCCAAAAGCTTGAAATTTGGTATGAGAATCAAGGTTGGAAAGTAAGTCTGATTTATGAAGTTGGTCTTGAAAATGTTAACGAAGTGTGCAAGCTGTACTAAAGTTAGAACAGTGTGGTTTACGGTGAACGGTTAAGCTGAAATTTTGTAGTCTTTTTACAAGGGTCCCTGTTGGTGGTAGGTTTGTGATAAAGAGGTAGTTTTGGAAGTGCACGAAAAGTACTAAATATAACTATATTCGGCATAATTTGGTATGGGCTGAACAAGTGGAGATTGAAATGCGTAATTTGGTATAAGATCGTTGATTATGTGTAGCCTGGACATTGTACGAAATTGTACGAAAAGTACTGAATGTTGCCATATTTGAAATTTAGTGATGGGATATAAATAAAATTCCGAAATGTCATATTTAGAGCCTTAATTTGATATTGAGGTCACTGTTGGTTTCTAGGGTTTACATATGAATATATTATTATAGCTATGTCCGTCCGTCCGTCTGTTATAATCACGCTAGAATCAAAACGAAATAAGATAGGAAGCTAAAATTTTGCACAGATCAGTCATTTGTGTGCAGGTAGGTCAAGTTCGAAGATGGGCGATATCGTATGGCCCCCATATAACGGTACCCTCGATATTCGTTATTTTGATTTTTTAGGCACATTTTTCAGTTGAATTGTCTGAAATTTTACTGGGTACTTTACCGTCTGTAAGAGAATTGTCTATATAGATCCACGATATCGTATATCTCCCATGTAACGGTACCTCCCTATATTCGGTATTCTGATGATTGTAGCGACATTTTGACCAGATTTTTTTTTTTCAAATTTCGTATTTAAAGTATTGAGTACTACAACCTATGTCAGAAATTGTCTATTCAGGTCCACGTCTATAACGGAACCTCTCTTTATCCGATATTTTATATATTATACATTAGCAACACCGGAATTGTTTCAAAATTATTTAATTATTGTTTCGGCCCCACCCAACTTAGCTGTTTTCTTTACGTGTTAAAGCGTAATAATTCCCAGATCTGGCACGGTTTAATGTGTTGTAAAACCTGATCCGGAAAGTGTTTTAAAACCTGATCCTTTTTTTCTGCCATAGTGCAGTTTAGCTCAGTTTTTAGTATTGTAAAGAGCTTAGCAACTGTAATTTGGAATTTGCAATGTTTAGAAGATCGTGCTGTGTGGTATTTAGTTTTGCCAACATTATAATTGACTGCAGAAAGAATTTGGAATAGACAAATTTAATTATTCTTTTACACACATTACCATAGCACCTCTAATTGTACGTTAGAGTTCCCATAAAGCCTATGCTTATTTTGATCAAAGTAAAGTTAAATGAGGGTTATACCAAAACGTGGACAGCATTACACACATTTTGTATAAATGATTCTACATGTAACCCATAGGATTGTATTAAATTAAAAATTCTTTCGTAAATTATAGAGCAAAATATTTAATGCACTTTGAGTGAAGATAAGGCTATATCTAATGGACCATAAACAAGTTACTGTCCAATTAGCACTTCCCAACAATGTTATTGCAATTAAAGGCCAATTTAATTGAAAAATCGGAAATATCTGAAATCAGCAATTCAGTCTTCGTATGAGGTTATAACAAACTTGAATTACCAAAATTTGCCAAAATTAGTTCAGACATTTTGTGCAAATCATTTTACATGTTACCCATAGTACTGCATCATATAGTAATAACGAACCCTATTTCCGAATACTATCCACTTAAACTTTCCCAACAACCAGATTGGCTGTTACACAGTGTAATTACTCACTATTGCACATAGTCCCTGCGATTTACGTATCTTGAAGGTTTCGGAAGATTTTTCGGAGGATAAGAATCCTATTTTGTATAATCTGTCATATTGCAGTGCCACGATATATTCGGAATTTTACTGATTGCAGTCCCAATGAAGTTTTACATATTAAGTTTTCATTGGACGGTTTATTGCCATATGAAAGAAGTAGGTCCATGTTTTGATATGAACCCCAAACACCTATGTCAGCCATTCTTGTTTGTTTGCATCTTCCAGCGGATTGGAAAGCTGGATGGCAACTCTTGTCCGTAAAGATCGCCATTTAACATCGTTTTGCGCACTAATTTCATTTTCTTCATCTCAGCATAC